AGCGAAATTTTATCCACGGAGCCAAACCTAGACTAGCATCTCGCCCCCTCTCTGTGGCCCAAAAAAGCCTGCCGCTGCGACAGCCTCGCAGACCACATTCCATGGCGCCGCCTGACTTCTACGCGCTGCTCGGCGTCGACCGTGCCGCCACCAACGAGCAGGTGCGCAATGCGTACCGCGACTGCGCCATGCAGCACCACCCCGATCGCGGCGGAGACCCGGCAGTGTGGTCGGCGCTACAGCGCGCCTACGACACGCTGAGCGACCCGCAGAAGCGGGCCGTGTACGATCGCACCAAGCAAGACGGCTCGGTGGGCGCGGAGAAGGCGTTCGGGCAGGCCTTTGCCGAGAAGGGCGAGGGTGCGGCGCAGCAGCGCGGCCTCTCCATCGAGGCCGAGATGGCGGAGGCCAAGGGCAAGGGCTCGACGCTAGCCGCGGCAGGCTTCGACATGTCGCACGCGCAGGGCTTCGAGGCGTGGATGCGCAACCAGAAGGGGATGGGGAAGCAGTCCTTCTACACCGCCGAGGACCTCCTCCGCTCGCGCCAATACGGAAACATCGAGGCCGCCTGTCCCACCGCCGCCCGCCCCGCCACCGCCGTCCACCGCCCTCGCAGCCTCCCTCCGACTCGCACCACCCTCCCTCCCGTTACCGCCACTGTCGCTCTCGCCGCCTACCCGACCACTGCATGCGCGGCCACCAGGCGACCGAGTCGACGGCACAGCCGCTGCCGGCGCTGTCGGCGACGGCGGTCCGGTTCGATGCGCACGGCCCGCCCGAGGAGGTGCTGTACGTCGACCGCGCCTGCTCTCTGCCCGACAAGCTCGCACACGGAGAGGTGCTTCCGACACACTTCCGACACACTTCCGACACACCTCCGAGACAGTTCAGCTCTCGCACAGGGCAATGGCTCCTCATGCACGCCCGCCGCCAGCCTCGCCACGGCCGCCAGCCTCGCCACCGCCAGCCAGCCTCGCCACCGCCGCCAGCCTCGTCACTGCCGCGGCGTCGCCAAAGCGTCGCCGAGCGCCCCGCCGTCGCCACTGCTCACCTTCTGTAGCCCTCCCTGCCCTCCTCTCGCCCTCCCTGCCCTCCTCTCGCCCTCCCTGCCCTCCTCTCACCCTCCCTCCCCTCCTCTCCCCGCGAAGGTGCTCGTGCACATGCTAGCCGCCTGCGTGACAGACGAGGCCGCTGCCGCGCGTGCACGCCGACGCCATCTCCTTGACACACGTCCGCGACACGTCCCCGACATGTCTGCACAGGACCTGCTGCGCGTGCAGACCCCTCTCACCGTCCTCAACGACTTCCCGCCCTTCAACCGGACAAACAACAAGTGGGAGGCGGCGACGCTGCCCGCCTTGCCCGAGCCGCGCCCGAGCCTTCCCCCAACCTCCCCATAGGTGGGAGGCGGTCCCTCTGCCCGCCACCGCTGGCGTCGAGGGCGTCGGCGTGGTCATCGCCACCGCCAAAAACGTGCCCACGCTCAAAGACCACCCGCTCGAGGTCAAGGACTGGGTGCTGCTGCGGCCCGAAGCCCGCCGCAGGCGCCGCCGGCTGCTGCTGCTCCCACCATCTCCATGACACCTCCCCGACACCTCCCTGACACCTCCGTGACACCACTCTGACACCTCCCCGACACCTCCCCGACACCTCCCTGACACCTCCCTGACACGTCCCTGACGCCTCCCTGACACGTCCCTGACGCCTCCCTGACACGTCCCTGACGCCTCCCCGACGCGTCCCAATGACGCGTCCCTGACCCTTCCCCCGCAGGCCCGCCGGCTGCTGGTCGACCATGGCGGTCGTCGACTCGTCAATGCTGATCAAGGTCCCGGCGCAGCTGATGCCCGTCCGCCACCTGGCGTGCTCGCGCTCCCTCTGCACCGCCTACCGCCTCCTCGAGGACTACGGCTCGCTCCGGCCCGGCGACACCATCATCCAGAACGCGGCCGACCTGCCCGTCGGACAGGCGGCCGCAGCACCTGCAACCTCGTGTCAACCTCGTGGAGTCTCGGGTCATCATCTCGGTCCATCCGGCGCATCTCGGGCCATCTCGGGCCATCCCGTGGGATCTCGGCCACCCGACTCTGCCCCCCATGTCGGCCAGGCGGTCGTCCAGCTCTGCAAGATGCTCAAGATCCGCTCGATCAACCTCGTCCCCGACGACGAGGCCGTCCGCCCGTGGAGCCGCACCAAGCCGCTGCCGAGACCTGCCCGTCCGCACCCCATGACCCCTGTCCTGTAGGCCTTCGAGCAGACCAAGGCGCTGCCCGCCCCAGCTCGGCCATCGCACACGCCCTTGCCCCGTCGCTGACGCGTCCCCCGAGTCCCGCAGGAGCTTCTCGTCCAGCTCGGGGGCCTCGCACGTGC